TATTTATTACAACGTTTCGGCCCTTCAGTATTTGTCTATATTTCTGAGATGATATTATGTACATTATTTACATTATTCGGACTTTGTCCTCATCTTTGGCCCGTTTCTTCAGTATCTGTCTATATTTCTGAGATGAGGTATTATGTACATTATTTACATTATTCGGACTATTGTCCTCATCTTTGTCGCCATATTTATTACAACGTTTCGGCTTATATATATATATATATATATATATATATATATATATATATATATATATATATATATATATAGAGAGAGATAATAAAAAATCCTCGTGGGCCAGAAACTACCTACCTAGGTTTTACCTAAATGGAATCTTCAGGGCGCACTCAAGATCCATTTAGGAGAAACCTAAGTAAGTATATTCTGGCTCACTGGGAAGTTTTATACTTTGCTCTACTTAGTGTTTTGAGCACTTTACGTCTTTTCTTATTTTACTTGATTGTTTTTTTTTCTTTTGGTTAGGCATTAGGGCATTAGACGATTTTTTCGACCTATTCGGATGTCTTTTCTTTTTTTCCCCAGTTTTTTTCTACCTGTTTGTTTAAATACATTTTCATTTGCTAATTTACTATCCATTTTTTTTATACCAGTCAAGAATAGTATTAAAATAAATACAATAATAATAATAAAAGATAGATAGATAGATAGATAGATAGATAGATAGATATGTGTGTGTCCGTGTTCTTCTCTCGCCACAAGAGATTTGTCAGCAAGGTGACTTATTTAGTTTCTGTAGTCGTGTTAGCGAATAGTACGGACTTAAAAAAAAAGAAGTCTGTCTATATTTCTGAGATGAGGTATTATGTACATTATTTACATTATTCGGACTATTGTCGTCATCTTTGTCGCCATATTTATCACAACGTTTCGGCCGTTGTACGCTCCGGCCTTCTTCAGGTGATTGGAATTTCGAACTGAACCCTTTATTTCGCTCACTGAGGTAGACTGTTCTAGTTCCACATGCCATGTTTGATGGATGCCAGTTATCAGTTATCTCCTGTTAATTTCCCTCTGAAAGTTCTCCACTGCCTTAACCGGGTATTGAACTCACACTCTTTGGGTCCTGTCACTAGATCCACTGTGCCACGAGTCCTTGAGGACATCTGGTTATGAATTTCTGGGTATTATAAACCTAATGTATTCAGCAACCATTTTTACCGGTGCTCATATTGCAATTTTGCTGTTATCATTGCATGTTTTTACCAGAGCTCATATTGCAACTTTGTTGTTATCATTGCTTTTCTCTGGCACTCCTTATTACTGGTTCCCATAAAAAAAGAAAAGAAATTTCACTTCTGTTTATTTCCACTTCAAATTTTTCTCTGTGTCCTTTACGATCGTTGTACATCACCTTTTAAAGCGAGTGGTCGTCCTCGTATGCAAATGACTTATGTTTATAAAAAAAAGCTCAATATCACGCATGCGCCTTTTACTTCTCGCAAATGGCGGTTCGGCAGACTAGACACATCGGCCGCTTTGGATCAGGCAAGTGCGAATATCTATCGTTACAGTGTCTTCTTGATGTTATCGACTTGTGGGATGATCACAACGTGCAGCACCTCTGGGAAATTGGGTAGACGGAGAGTTCGTAGTTGGTTGTGCTAGCACGAAGTCATAAGCCATCGTGACCGAGTGTCCAAGAGTACTGGATCTTGATTTAACTGTTGATCACGCCAGGATATTCAGTCTTCCTTCAGAAACTGCAACTATGGTTCATTCCATATAGTGGCTGCATAAACCAGGTGGGCTCTGTCGGCGTTGAAAAAACACAAATGTACCTGAGCAGGCGTCTGCAATAGGCACATTTGGTTAGACGCCATAGTAGACCAGAATATTCGTATACAAGCAGCCAACCATTATATATATATATATATATATATATATATATATATATATATATATATATATATATATGTTTGTGTGTGTGTGTATTAATAAATATACATAGTACTCCACGCCGACAGTACACCTCAGGTTTTATATCTATACAATCATAAGTACCTGATGATTGCATAGTGCATGGAACTCCGAGTTGTACTGTCAGCGTCGGGGTATTATGTCTACCTATTAATATGCATGTGTGTGTGTGTGTGTCCATAAAAATTTAATGCTTAATTTTTCCGTCTCTTCCAATGTAGTTTATTTTCTTATTTTTTTTTGTTTGTTTTCACGAAAGGTTGCTGCTCACAGATGGTAGGGGCAAAAGTACGTACTACTTTCTATCCCCGTGCTGTTCGTAGTGTATGAACATTTTTGTAGAAAGTCTGTAATACGACTGATAAGATATTCGTTCTTACCGTAGCTCTTAGCAACTGCACCATTCGAACGTTTCTTTCTTAATTATCACGTCGTGAATCTTCAGCTTATTCACTTAATGGCAAAATTTTACGGCTTCTCGTTGGCGTATCTGCTTTGCCACTAATGCTCTATATCTTAATATTAATCACTTTAATTACAAAAACTGCTTGATGTAAAAGCATTTTATTCCACAAATACTCTCGACAACGATTTTTTTTTCTGTCCTGGCTTTTGGGCAATTATTAAGTAAAACTTAAAGTTTACTTTTTTCAAGTGTTAATCTGAAACACCAGCTCGCGTAAACTAAGAAAATTGATTCAACGTGTCGTGCTCGTTAAATTTTCTCTCCAGAATCTTACATATCTCTAAGTCTACCATTCGTCCATGCTTAGAATATTGCTGTCACATATGGCCAGTTGCCCCTGTTATTTACCTTGAGCTCCTTGATATGATCCAAAGAAGAATCAACAATTTTATAGATCTGGCGGCTCGGCTTCATTCACTTTTTGTTGTAGCCTAGAAAAGGTTACTGAATGAGGAATAACCAAAACGGAGGTTGGAAATGAATTGGTAATCTTTATAACATCAACAAAATACAATACTCGCCAGCGACGTGAAGTAGGTAAACTACTGCTTGTGGTGGACTATTTAGCATATTACTCCCAACTTACAATAGTGCCCAACTTATTATGAGGATTAGGACATACCGATTAGTGTTCATAGGTATGGTATATAACATTTTTTTTTACAGCCTTAGGGTTGTCTCTCACTGCCTTTTCTATAAATACTTTTATGGTAATTGTTCGGATAATCTCTTTGCTGTGATACCTAGACTTTTTTAATTTAAGCGCAGTATTAGACTGGCATCAATCTGCATTTGAGAGGGATAGATGTAACCGTAAGGTTTATGCCAACAGTTATTTTCTCGCACTTCTTGCTTGTGGAATTCCCTTCCGGCTCCATGCTTTTCAGCCAAGTTTAGTCTTCAAAAATTTAAATGCAATGTCAATCGCTATATACTGTGCTCCTCATTATTGTTTTCTCTTTCAGCTCATTAGTAATGTTTCTGTTCCAAATCCTTCCACAGCCCGTGACCCCTTGTGTCTGAATGGTTTTACTGCCTTGTATGCGGTGGTATCAATTTAAAACAAAAGACAGAAAGTGTAACTGTGGATAAAGTTTAAAAGTGGCAACGAATGTTCGTTGACATCACAAAAAGAATAATTTTTGCCCTCCCCCCCATCAGCATGGCTAATATTGGATCAATTTCTATGTTTGCTGCTAAGAACGTTGTGTTCTCTGTGTCGTGCCAACCAATTTTGCTCGTCAAATCCATCTTAAACATTTATAAATCTACCATTTGCGCATGCATTGAATATTGATGGCATATCTGGTCTGGTGGTCTGGCTATCTATCTCAAAATTCTCGACAAAATCCAAAAAAGGGTCTGTAATATTATTCATCCTGACCTAGCATTTCGACTTCAGTTACTTTCCAACCATCGTGACGTAGTTTCTATATTTTCATGGCATTTGTTCAAATCAGTTCTCCCCCTTGTTGTTTTATCCCCCCACCCCACACACAGACAATGAATTTTACATATGGGGATTAGGACTTTTATAGAGACAATGTGGTATTACGGTGGATGTAGTAAGTAAGTAAGAATGTGTTGTTTTGGTGTTAGGAATATTGTTGTATGTCTGAGTCAGTGTTTGTGGCTAGCTAAGTTTAAAGTTAAGACAGATGAAGACCGTCTTTTTCCCCACTCCCCATTTGACCTTGTGCCACATTTTGTAAATATGTACAAATAAATATCGCTCTTAAACGTACGAATAAATATTCCCCTTGGTATATCAACCGCATGAATTTGAGCGTACTACTAGATTGGCGGCTAGGTCTCATCGTTTTACTGTTGAAATAGCTAGTAAGTTCTTTTCTAATAGTTTCTCTTCCCTGCCACCTACAATCTTTAAAAATTTAAATGCAATGTTAATCACCGTTTACTGTCTCCTTGAAATCTGTTCTTTTATTGTCTTTTCTACTCACTAATGTCTTCTCATTCTCTTCCACTCTCAGTAACACCTTTCATTCTAATGACATAATCACTTTGGGGTGAAATGATTTTTCCCTTCTGTTTACATGTGCTATCCACTTTAGTTGTTGCTACTTTTGGAAGTCTTCAAGTGATGCAGCTTTTGTAATTTGGTAAGGTTCTTTGTGATGCTTTAGTGATAGTCCATGAAGATCTGATGAAAGAAAATCCTTGTAGGACTTAATTCGCTTGAAGTCACTTTTAATCATTGATATGAAAAAAAGGGAAAAGGTTGTATATAGTTAATAGTGCAGAGATTTCTGAACGATTAGAAAATCATTGATACCAACGAAACTATTTAAGAATATGACTGAGAGAGGTTCGCCTATTGTCCGATTTTCACTCTTCGCCGTCGCCAGTCTTTTGAACAGGAGTAGAGGTCTATCCCTTGTTTCCTGTTTAGGAGTGGGTTTCCGGTTCTGTCTAAAGTCTGTTTCAACTCTATACTCCTAATGTTTGTCCTTTCCTACGCTGATATAAATCTACAAAGTAACTCTCTACCTTGACTGGCTATTAGGCCTTGTATCGGGGGAACATTAGTTAAAAAAATATCTAAATAATGAACAAAGCATTTCGTAGTAAAATGCTCGAAAGGTTAATATCAATCAAAAGAATTTAGCTTAAGGCTTCATTTATATCATGTGGAGTCAGAATCAAATTCAATCCAGTCGCAATAAATGGCTAGATTAGCTTTCTTTGTGTTGCTTTGGATATATACAAAGCTTTTCCTAGTTGGGCACAAGGCCACAAGGGTGGATTGCACAGTGAGGATGGAAGGCACTTTCATTTTCTTTTCTTCACTATTATTTTTTCCTTGGTCTATATTTTTTTGTTACTCCTCTTTCTTTTTTCTCTTTCTCTCTCTACCTCTCTCTCTCTCTCTCTCTCTCTTTCTGTTTCTCACTATTGATTTTTTTAGTATCTCTCTTGATTTTGTTCCTTCTCTTTCTTCTACTCTATACTCCAATGTTTCTCAGCTTTTTTAAGAAACGGCACACCTAGGAGTAAATGAAAATATCATGGTACACTTGGCAAAATTTTAAATGGGTATACATTTAAATTTTCTGAAATAAAACTTTAAAATATTTTTTAAAAATACACACACAAATATGAACTTACTTTATTTCAATGTTTCTATTCAACTATTTGTGCAGCTTATTTAATGGGAAACTTGTGCCTGGTGCTTTTTCGCGATTTCTTCAATGTTTGATCGAATGTGCAGTAATCAGACCCCTATTTCTTCTTCAGTTGAATGTAGTCTTTCTCGGTTCTTATTTTTTTATGTTATTTGCGGCCGAGAAGCCTATTTCACATAAATAAGAAGAAAATTGCAATATAACTGATAAGGCCTTTTTAGCTAATGTGTGATATTCCTTTTGTATTGAAATGCAAAATGTATCAATGGATACTATCGAATGTATTTTGAGCCCGCGATCACTAGAAATAATGGCCAATTCTTCTTCTTCGTATACCTGAGGTGCAATATTAAAAGGGACAATTATGAAAGGATTTTGAACCCAAACATACTTTTGCAGTACAATTAAGACAATCGCCCGCTGTACGGGGGTTAAGAATCACTGCTATTGTCTTTCTCTTCCCTACTCTAATATTTTCTTTTGTATCTCTTTTTGCTCGATCATCTTAGTTTCTCTTTCCATTTTGCTTCTTATTTCTAGAGAAGCTTAATGAACAGGATAATCACACGAAGGTTGGTAATGAACGATAATACTTACGACACGAACAACACATATAAGATTCGCCAGCGGCGCGTAGAAGAAGTAGTTCCATAATGAATCTCCAACTAAAGGATATCTATCATGCGATCAGATGTAGTACAAGGCCGAATTTAATGTGGGGTATGCGAGCTCTTAGGCTCGACCAAAAAATCCCTGTAGACCCAGTATAAAACAGGTCAAGTAACTATTCCTCGAGACGAGACTCTGTCTTTCGACATAGCCTCGTCTGGGGATTCTCTCTTCCCAGAGGCAGAGAGTTTGACCTGCACAGCTGGAGACGAATCTTTAGCTGCAGGATAACTACCAACCGCTCGACGCGGTCAGATGTGGCACAAGTCCGAATTTAATGTGCGGCATCTGAGCCCGTAGGATCGGCCAAAAATCCCCCCTAGATCCCCGTATTAAACGTGGTTGAGTTGCAGTTTCCCGAGACGAGACTCTACCCTTCGACATAGCCTCGTCTGGGGATCGTCTCTGCCTGGAGGCAGAGAGTTTGACCTGCACAGCTGGAGACGAATCTTCAACTGCAGACCAACATACAGTATTTACTATTGTATTTATGTGAATGGGGACATACTAATTATCGTCTGTAGATGTGCTAAAACAATTTTCTCACTTTCCCCATCTCTTCTCTCTATTAATTTTTCTTAGTATCTCTTTGTTCTTGTTTCTCCTCTTCTTTACACCTCTTTCTCTATTAATTTTTCTTCGTATTTTTCTTCGTATTTCTCTTTTACTAGATTATCCTCTTAGCCACCTCCATCTTTCTCTCTCTTTCCCTCTTTCTCTCTCTCTCTCTCTCTCTCTCTCTCTCTCTCTCTCTCTTCTATTTTTCTCTCTGTTAATTTCCTCTGAATAATAACCGTCTTCGGAACGAACATGTTATCCATTACTCCATAGAGAGGCCCCTACTTCTATTAATAAGTGTAGTTTCGTACAGTACAGCTAGGGAACGTCCCCTGAACGACCAGGCGCCCTACGCTAGCAACGTTCATATGTTCTTATCAACTAACTTGGGAATTGTTATTACACGGTGAGACGACTTTCCTGTTTATTGAGGAACCCAAGATGTTAATGATTTATGACATATTACAACACCTCCATATCACATTAGGATTGCATTCACGAAAAGTGTTAAGTTTAAATCAATTAAACGCTAAGCATCGATGAACATAAACAAATGATAAATGCTATTAACTTGCGAGAATGAAATGTGAGAAAGTGTCCTTGGACGAAAAAAAAAAAAAGGACGAAAACCTCAAGATGTTCGAGAGGCAAATTAAATTCAGAATAATTTGCAATGGAGGGTTTCAAAAAAGAGAGACAAAAACCTATCGGGGAGAGAAAGAGAGAGAGAGATGAGGAGAGAGAGAGAAGGCTGAGCGAATCATAGTCCCTCTGTATCTTCCTCTTTCTTGTTCTTTCTTCATACTATTTCTCTCCCCTTTCTCCTCTCCCCCTCCTCTCTCTATCTCTGTCAATTTCACTTAGTATCTGACCCTTTCTTGCTCTCCCTTTTTCATACTATTTTTCTTCCCTTTCTCCTCTCCCCTCCTCTCTCTCTTTGTCAATTTCCCTTAGTATCTGACCCTTTCTTGCTCTCCCTTTTCATACTATATGCTCTCCCCTTTCTCCTCTCCCCTCCTCTCTCTCTTGTCAATTTCCCTTAGTATCTGACCCTTTCTTGCTCTCCCTTTTTCATACTATATGCTCTCCCCTTTCTCCTCTCCCCCTCCTCTCTCTCTTTGTCAATTTCACTTAGTATCTGACCCTTTCTTGCTCTCCCTTTTTCATACTATTTTTTCTCCCCTTTCTCCTCTCCCCCTCCTCTCTCTCTCTCTCTCTGTCAATTTCCCTTAGTATCTGACCCTTTCTTGCTCTTCCTTTTTCATACTATTTGCTCTCCCCTTTTCCTCAATCTCTGTCGTTCTCTTTTTCTCTTGATTTCCCTTAGTATCTCCTTCTTTATATTCTTTTCACTCTCCTGCCATACCTCCCTCTCTCTCTTAATTTCTCCTCTTTCCCCTTCTTTATTTATACTCTTCTCTTTCCTCTTTCTTTGCTTTAATCTCTCTCTCTCTCTCTCTAATTAAATTGTCCTTAGTATCTACTTGTTTCTTGTCGTCACTTTTTATGCACTTCTCTCTTCAATTCCTCTCCCCCCCCTCTCTCTCTCTCTCTCTCTCAATTTCTAAGTATCTCTCTTTTCTGTCCTCTTTCTTTATATTCTTTTCTTTCCCCTCTCCTCTTTTCTGTTTTTTTTTTCCGAGTATTAAATTATTTCTTCTTAGTATCTCCCCATTTCTTGTTCTTTATACTCTTCTCTTTCCTCTTTCTCCAACTCCTCCTCTCTCTTTCTCCATCTGTTAATTTCCCCTTACTATTTCATTCATCATTTTTTCTTTTTCTTCTTTTCACTCTTCCCACACCCCTTTCACCTTCTCTCTCTCTCTCTTAATTTGTTCTTAGTATTTCCCTTTTTCTCCTTCTTTCTCCATGACTTTATCTTTCTCCTTTCTTTCTCTCTATATCTCTAAATTATCCTTAATATCTTCCTCCTGTTTTTTTAATCTTCCTTCTTTATTCTATTCTATTTCTTCTTTCTTTCCCTCTCTCCCTCTTTCTGTTTCTTATTCTTCCTTCTTTATATTCTTCTCAGTAAGTTTTCTGTTAATCTCCCCTTCTCTCTCTCCCCTTCTCTTTCTCTCTCTCTCCCTCTCTCTTTGTATCTCTCATGAGAACGGGACCAACTTGCTAGCACGTTATGTAATATTTTGATATCAACCTGGGAAGATGATCCTAGCATGCAATAAGACTGAGAAGTGATGGGGGCAGACAAATATTTGTACACATACAAATTTTTAATTTATTGTATTTCCAACTAATGAATAAACATACTTTTCATATAATTAACTGCACACAGATGCATAATATCTAAATATGCATAGAAAACAGAAAAATTGATTTAATAGAAATAAATCCTATTTATCCATTCAATGGGTGAAAAAAGTATTCGTACAATACAAAAAAGATTACATAATCTTCAATTAATACATTGTAGAATAGCCATTATTCAATTCTACATCAACCAACCTCTTCTTGTAGTTCTCAATTAATGATTTGAAAATTTTAATTGATATTTTGTTCCATTCTTCTTTGCATATGGTCTTCAGATCCGTGATGATTTTTGCAGCTCTCGATTGGATTTGAATTTTCAAATATCGTCACAGATTCTTGATTGGATTTAAATCTAGGAACTGACTTGGCCATTTCAGGATACTTACATTATTTTCAGCAAGCCATTTCTTTGTAGATTTCGTAGTGTGCTTAGGACCATTATCTTGTTGGAAGATTCAATCACGAGGAAGTTAAAGATTTTCAACCGAAATCATTAAATTTGCTTCCAAAATACTTCTATTACTGATATTTCGCCAGTATCTTTTGCAGAAAAAACATTCACAAACCATGAAGCTGCTACTACCCAATTTCACACTTTTGGAACTGTGATCTTTCGTTCGAAGACATCGCCATCTTTCTTCCATACATGATTTTTAGAATTACGTTCAAACAACTCAACTTTGGTTTCGTCTCTCCATAGTACAATTTTTCCTTATCCTAATGTTCACGAATCAATTTCCCCTTGGCATCTCTGTGTCTTTTCAATAGCAGTGGATTTTTCCAAGGGGAGTGTGACTTTAGATTGTTCCTATGAATTTCATTGCTTATTATCCATTTAGTGGTATAGATTCCTAATGAAAGCAAATTATCCTGCAACTCTTTACAAGTAACCATCTGATTTTGTTTAATTTAACGCATTAATTTCCTCGAAAATCTTGAACAAATATTCCGTGTTATTCACTTCTTTCTGCGAATTTGTCAGGGTTTTTTTTGTTTTTTTTTACCTCTTGCCATGATGATAACCTTGCACAAATGTCAGTTTCAGAATGTTCTGTTTGAATTTTTAGGCTTAAAATAACTACTGTTAATATTGGAACTTTCTAGAATATTCCACTTGAATAATCTAGAGTATTAAGGCAATTTCAATGTTTTAAAGTCTTAAATTTGCTTTGTATGAATATTTTTTTACCCATTAAAATGGATAAATGGGATTATTTCGATTAAATCATTTTTTTATGTTTTCTATGTGTATTGAGTTTTTAATGGATCTGTGTGTAGTTAATTATATGAAAAGTATGTTTATTCATTAGTTGGAAATACAATAAATTTGTATGTGTACGAATATTTGTTCCAAGCTGTAGATGCTAAGTAGAAGATATTTTTATTTTGGCTAAAAACTGAGTTGTGGAACTCTCTTCTGGCTTTTTGTTTTTCCCTCAAATACGATCTTCGAAAAGTTAAATGTGAGGGCAACCTTCTTCTGACTCTTTGAATCCTGTTCTTTTTATTTGCCTCACCCTTCAATAAAGTTTTGTCCTTTTCACACTCAGTAATCCCTTGAGTCTTAGTGTTTTTAACGCCTTGCTAGGAAGTGCAATGATAGAATGTATAATTACAACTGAAGTGTTCTTGTATTTCGCTCCTATCGCCTGCATATATATGATCCTATCAATAAACAAAAAAAGTCTGAATAAGTCATTTTGAAGGGCAAAACACCACGTCTCCGATGCTGAAATATCTTCTACAAATATAGAAAATTTTAAGCAATTTCATTCTTCAAATAAAAGCTTTTAGTCCTTTAGAGATTGATTCTCCATGTTACGTCCACCAAGTTGAATCACCCACATTTCCCCCGTAGTCCAATTGTAAGGAAGAGGTTCCAATAAAACTGCTTTTGCTAGAGTTCTCTAAAAGCAGTTTTATTGGAACCTCTTCCTTACAATTTGTATTTTGTGGAGCTACCGCGTTGATGCCTTTTCTGAACCTCACAATCTTAACCTCTTCAGGTCAAGTGTGAGTCAATATTTATCCACCTCACTCTCCTAATATTCACGTCTACCCCTTATATTCATATCACACAATTCATTCATTGACCCTCTATATGGAGTAGATTTTGAGCCTTGTATTGCCTGAAGTTTACCATTTTAAGCGCATTTTTGAAAAAAAAAAGTTTTCTCAAATATGCAGGCCGGTAGACGAGATAAAATATTGTTTAATATAAACGGATTCTCTACTCAAATACGGGTATCCAATAAAATAACCTTTATATATATATATATATATATATATATATATATATATATATATATATATATATATATATATATATATATATATATATATATATATATATATATATATATATATATGGATCAGAATCAGACAGAATTATAAGAAAAAAAAAACAATTAAGTTAATTGATAAACGTTTCCGGTTTGTTCTCTATCTTATCACACACACACAGACACAGACAGACAGACACACACACACACACACACACACACACACACACACACACACACACACATATATATATATATATATATATATATATATATATATATAAAAACAAAAAAGAAAACTTATCTTACCCGACGTGTTTCGTTCATTGTGGGACTTTATCAAGGCAAATGCAAGGATTTTAGTTTGTAACAAGTATTTATATACAAGAGCAAAAATGTTATTTGCTTTTCAAAAATTTGAAGTTTAGGAATGCTCATAAATATTCATTAGGTTAGCTGAAAAGTCTAGGCAAGCTATGGAAGAACGGACGTGCTACAATTCAATGTCTAATGAACAAAAGTGAGTAAGTGATGTTCTTGAAAAATTTGTATGCAAGTTAGTAGAAATATTATTTTAGTTTGGGATGAATTTATGCCTTATATATTCTCAATAACATGAGGTTAAGGATTTAGCCGTTTTCTTTCAATTCTTTTACATTTTGTATGCATGTATATTGGCTTGTACACGTGTATTGTTGTACTTACATGATGTAGTTAAATCCATTTTCACCTTCACTTATCAATGGCCTTTTACAATAACCTCATTTTTCAATGAAGGCCATTTCTTGCAAAGCGCACTCCAAAAATGAGACGTTAAAGTCGCCGAAAAATGGCGACGTTAAAGTTTCGAAGAGATCACTAAATATCAGATTTAGAAAACCTTAAGATCCTACTTATTCTCCCATCCGAACACGTATCGTTGAGAACTCGTAGCAAATTGTTCTCTGCGTTTTTACGATCTGCACCGCTCCACGGCACTGAGACTTGGGGGACAAGTGCGTCGCTTGATGATTCGTTGGATCTGCGATACGCCGCCTCAGTATGAACCCCGCCTCATCTGAATTGTTAACGAGGCTCGATATTGAGGATATAACATCTGTGGTGCACACCTCTTGTCTTAGATGGTTTGTTCACGTCCAACGAGCTTCGTCATGCATTAGGACTGTCTCGGAGTTCAGGGTCCTTGGTCACAGAGATCGAGGTAGACTTGGAAGGACTGCATTGGGAGAGATAATGTGCCGGAGTGCGGCCTCGCCCATATTAACCCGCTTGACAGGGATGCGTGGACAGGAGTGAGAGCTAGCCGACTGCTGCCTACTCCAGTCAGTGGGAAATACCAAACCAAATCACCGGATCTTGACTTGTTAAGTTCAAATCGTGACAAAAACACGCCAAAGGCACTAAATCATTAGTCAAAAGGAATTCAAACATATATTTGATTGTTTCTCAACGCCACGCTTCAGAATTGTTGATTTTTTTTTTCTCATGCA